AGAATTAGGGAAAAGAAACTTCGGGAACAAAACTTATCTTCGGATAATAATTCACCAGAACCATCCAATTTATCATACAAAGATCAAAATTTGAAATCGTCAACAATATTGCAATCTATCTCTAGCCACTCTGTGACTACCTCTGGTGATAGCTCTGATTTATTAGAACAACTTCCTATAAAGCAAAAAAATAAAACGCTTGAAATAGATATAAAACCTTTAATACAAGAACTAAATATAAAAACTTTAAAGGAGGATACCATTAAAATTGTTAATGTAGATGCCTCAGAGAAGCGATCCTCTATATCTAGCCACTGTGTGACTGCCTTCGGCAAAAATTCTACAGATAACCAATCACCTACAATCAAATTAGTATATCTATTCGAAAGAATTTGTTTTGCGGAATTTAATACTATGCGAGCTAAACAAGATGAAATTGCTAGCTGGTATTCATATAGAAAGTTTTTTGAAAAAAAACATAGTGAAATTTTACCTGGAATCCTGAAAAATAAACTACAACTTACGAAACAAAAAGCATATGAGCTAGCGAGTAGCCAAATTTATGATGAAATGTTATGTTATCTTTCAGGTATCTCCCGAGTAAATTTGCGTAAAAAAACACAACTAACTAAACCTATATATAAGTTGTTTAATGAAATTGGAGAAGATAAGATTTTGCGAATTAAGACTTATAGCGCAAATAAACTTTCAAAATTAACTGATGCACAAATCGATATAATCATATATGAGGTAAGTCGTTTCACAGAAAAGTATGATACTACCCCCCCACTGCGTGAAAAAAATTCACGCACTCATATGACTGAACCATCTAACTCTACCAAACCTCAGATCTCAAATTCCTCAGATTCGGAAGCTGAGGTAAGTATGTCTAATACTCCTGACTCTCCCATCTCGAGAAAATTAGATATTAATGTAACTAGCTCTACTAAGGTAAGCGCATTGCCTGAGAAGGTTTCGCCAAAAATCCAGGTGAGTGTATCAGATGTAAAAGCATCCTCACTACATGAGAACAAAACCCGACCTTCAATTTCCACCTTACCTGGTGATCCAGAAGAAAAACGAAAACATATTATCAAAATAGTGTTAGATCGCTTTCCTTATTTAACTTTGAAATATAGTAACGAGTACGGTGACTATTTTAATTGTCCAAAAACCTGTCTCGTATGTAA